TTTTTTTTCCTACATTTCCCTTCAATTTTTTTAATAATCAAATAAAAATTTTATTTTTTTCTTCCCCTCCATTCTCCTCAAAACAGTAATAAGTTCAATGAAAAGGATGTTGTAAAAACTTTTGAAAAGGTTTTTTTTTTTTTTTTCTGACAAAAACAATTATTAATAGACTAATTTTATTAATTATTAAAAATTAAAGATTCGATTCTTAAATTTAAAAAATATTTTACCTCTCTCAACGAGACACATGACCCATCATACCGTTTAATGAAGTTCAACTTTTGAAAAGGTTTGGGGTCCAGATGATTGGAATTTAAACAAAAGCGATCCAGTAGAAAATTCAATTATAGTAACCTATTACACAAAAAAGAATTCATAATTTCATACTACTGTACTTGTTTTTTCGCTTTTCAAATTCCTTGAAATTTGCTCGAACATATCAAAATTTTATACTCCATCCTACAAAATACAAATGAAGAGACAAACCTCCCTCAGTTCCTTACACAACACAATTTCGTCAACGCTTATTCTTCATCTTGCATCATTATATGATTCATCTGCATGCTCTGACCAGCTCAAACCCCAAATATATAAATACCCATATACAAATATTCATATCAAACCAAAAATTTCAAGAAACCGAGAAGAGAAATGGAGTATCCTAACAAAGGAGAAGAGGAGGAAAAAGCAAGAGAGGAAGTGAGGTACAGGGGAGTCAGAAGGAGGCCGTGGGGGAAGTATGCCTCGGAGATACGAGACCCGAAGAGGCCCGGCGGCCGCTTGTGGCTGGGGACGTTTGACACTGCAGAGGAGGCAGCGCGTGCTTATGATAGGGCGGCATTTAACCTAAGAGGTCACCTTGCTGTACTCAATTTCCCTCACGAGTATAATATTCCTCAAGTATTGGGGTCGATTCCTACAGGATCGTCGTCTGCGGCGTCTTCTTCTGGGAGTGTTGGGGAGAGGTACGAAAAGGGAAGCTCATCTGAAGGAATGCCGCCGCCTCCGCCGCCGCGGGAGGTTATTGAGTTTGAGTGTTTGGATGATAACGTGCTGGAGGAGCTACTTGCATTTGAAGAAGAGAAGAAGAAAAAGAATAAAGATTGAATTAATTCTAACACTTCTTTCTAATTCTTGCTGATCAATTCTCTCTAGTCTTAGCTCAATAAATCAAGAACATGTCATCTTATCAATTTATTTTAAGTTAAACGATTTAATAAGGTATTGTAGACTAAATTAGGTCTATTCTTTTTATTTGTTTTATCAGATCAAAATTGTTATTAAACAGAAATTTTCCAAACTAAGAGTTGTTGGGTTTTATTGCGTCTTGCATAAATTATTAGAGATTTAATCCCTATTTGCATTACCGTTGTTGTTGTTGGTTTTTTTTTTTTTTTTTTTTTTTTTTTTGAAGCAAAGTGAAATTTATTTTTGAGAATCATACAAAACAATTAATTCAGTAAACAAATCACTAGCCTCAAATTAAGAGAACACCCATATACTCTAATATTTAAGAACTCTTGCATGCATATATATAGAGCATGGCATCTTGATTTTATGCAACAATTAATTTACTACCAGGATCTGTTCTGCAAAAAGTGTGAAACCCAATCATACCAAGTTAGGTCTCAGCTTTTTCATGGCGGTTATTGCAGGATAGAGTCCCATCAAAGCTCAATCTCAATAAAAGGGGCATTACCAAGGATATTAATGATTGCAAGTGTGTTTTGTGCGGGGAGGAGTTTGAGGACTCTAACCACCCGTTCATCCAGTGCAAGACTGTAACTGGGTTATGGGCAGCATGCTTTAAATGGTGGGGAATAAAAACTGTGATGGATAAAGAATGTTTGAGAGTATTTGAGCAACACAGTAGCTTGATGAAGAAAGCAAAAAGGCAGGTACGATGGGATTATGTCTGGTTTTCCTTGGTTTGGACGGTGTGGAAAGCTAGGAATGAGAAGATTTTCAAAGGAAAAGAGATAGATGCAAGAAAGATGATGGAATTGATTCAACTGACATCTTTTAACCGGACTAAAGGTAAAAGGGATAACTGCTAAATTTCTCCTTGAAGGACTGGTTACTTTTCCCTTTAGATTGCATGAGGACAAGCTATAGTGGCAAGAAACATGATAAGAATGTGGGTGTCTGAAGCTTCTCACTGGCCAGTAGGGCAAGGAGCAGTAGCACGCGCATAGACTTTAATAGATATTGTAACAAAGAGGGTTATATTCTACCAAAAAAAAAAAACAAAACAAAGAGGGTTATATATTTTTGCAGTAAATAGTATGTGGGATAATGGATTTGGAGTACCCTTGTACTCTAATAATAAAAGTTGAATTTGCTTTTCAAAAACAAAAAACCAAATCATGCATATACCATGATGTATCCATTTATGTGTATGAAGCATATGCTTTTGAGCCTTCGAGCTGATCCTACCGCGGCCCAATCTCTCCAGAAATGATATTAGAATTGAAGGTGATTTGGTCTTGGGCCGCATGTGAGAGAGTGTGGGATTGTCATGGAATTGCTCGAGTTACCATGATTTGAATAAGCCGGAGAAGTCTATATGTAGGTGCAAAATGATGCCAAAATCCCAAACACACGTAATTGCATGCGTATGGGCATTTGGAATGACATCATTGACAATTTGACATGGTTATTTGGTTACGTTACAATTTTTCACTTGCATCTGGACACTTACAAATTTATGATAACATAAAGCTTTTTGACTTGATTTTGTATTTTAGGTACATTTGATGAATAATTTTTCAACAAAGAACCTTTTTTTTTCCAAAATTCTTCACCATTGACCATGTCAAAATAATTTAAATTTAAGGGCTCTAATTTAGATACCAAGTTCTTTTTATTTGGACACACTTTTAATAATATTCCTTTCTTTGCAAATAGAAAAAGAATTAATACTGACAAAAAGTTCAATCTAAACTAAATCAACTCTTATGCAAGGTACTAGAAAAAGGATAACAACTCTGGAATATTTCTTTGAAGGAGGAGTGATGCACTTAATCAACAATGGAAGTTTGCTTTTTAAATATAGGTGATTCGGTAAGCCAAGGTGGATCGTTAAAGAGCAGAAATTCATCATAATATTTGGAAGGTAACTCATTGACAGAGGAACAATTGCTGTTTTTATTGATGACTTATAGTTAGCTTGCGTTTAGATCATGTGGTAATTAATGCTATATTGACGTGAATAGAGAGAGGCTAAAGTTTTTTGGGTTTTAAGACAGTGGTTAATGGGAGGAATTTTTTTTTTTTTTTTTCTTTTTATGCATACCAGATGTTCGATGAAATGCCTGCGTGGGTTGTTTATATTGTCTTGGCAGTTGGATAGGAGTAGGATAGTTAGCCTCTAGGCTGTAAGTATCCTTAAAAAATGTAAAAACTCAAAATCAACTGGCCTTCAACTAGACGGAATTTACTCAGTCGTCGCCAAGCTCCACCTCGGTCCAGTACTAGTTATGAAAGCTAATCCCGTCTCTCAACTGACATTGAGAGGGGACAGGGGGGTATTCCAACAGTAATCTTGATTCTCAATTACCCATGGAATTCTTAGATATCGATGCTTGATATCCCCGTGATCTTGTTTCTAGAAAACAGATCGAATTTGTCCTAACACGAGTTTTGACTCGAGATTAATGGACGGGACATAAATTCCATGGCAAATGGCGAAAGTTCCTTTTCTTCTTCTTCTTTTTTTATTATTATTTAATGTTAAGTTTTAGAAGGATTTGCTTTAAAGAAGTTTAATTATGTCATATTCTTTCCCCAAGCCCAATTATCCTATTACCATCTACTAGCTTTCCAACTCCAAGAAAGAAAAATGAATATTGCCAGTTTGCCACTCCAACATAAGTAATCTAATTTTCAACATATTCTGAATCATTTACAGCCTAATAATGATGGAAGTGCTATAACAATATAATTATAATGTTATATGTTATTATAAATTTATAATTATAATGTGTAATTAAATAAATATATATAATATTATAAATGAATTTTTAAATAAAAAAATTAGTTATATAAGATATATTATACTTGTAAAAATACAAAGTCATGTGACATTCTAATTATATTAAATTCAATTAAAGATTTTCCTATTATTCTCATAATTAAGAAACTATATTAATCTATTTATTAAGTCTATATTATATTCAATCAAAGATTTTCCAATTATTCTCGTAATTAAGAAGCTAGCCTTTCCAAAAGTTGCTTTTGCGCTCATATTCATTGAATTATTAAATAGGAAGATGATTAAGTTTATATAATTTTTTTCATGAGTAGATACAAAAGATGAACATTAGGGATGGAATTTGGGATTAATAATATGATAGAAGTCATATTATTAAATAAATTAATGCATATAATATTACGGATATAAATTTTTATTTTAAAATTAACTGTTAAATAATATATGATTCATTTTTTAATATTTTAAATGATATAACTTATATCATATCATTGATTTTAAAATTTCTGTCTTATTTATCATTATCTTTTTTTTCATACAACCTCACATGTCATTTAATGATTAACTTTTTTTTATACCATTGAAACTCACGATTTTATATGTATGAATTCATTTAATTATATATAAAAATTCAAATAAAAATTAGACAAAAAAGTTAAACATATATCATTACCCAATTAAGAAACTATATCAATCTATTAATTAAGAAGGAAGCCTTTTCCAAAAGTTGTTTTTGCGCTTATATTCATTGAATTATTAAATAGGAAAGTGATTAAGTTTATATAATTTTTTCATGAGTAGGTACAAAAGATGAACACTAGGAATGAAAATTTGGATCTAATGACATAGGAATAATGATAACAAAGTCGAAAAAAGGGGACGAATTCACGGGACGAATCTGAAGTGATCTGTCACCTTAGCAATATATCAATAAAATAGGGTTTACATGCGTCTCACCTTCTTTCCACATTCTCCCCATTTTTTCGCCTTTTTTCTTTGTTCTGGCCCTTCTGGGTTCATCCAAATCCAAATTCTTTTTTCCAAATCTTCATCCTTTGTCGCTATTTATCTCATCCCCTGCAAAGACTAATTGTAGATTTAGAGTTTCTACCAGTTATGGTTCAATTGTATCAAAGAGCTAGGGTTTAGTTTTTCTTGTTCTTCTTTTTTGAAATTTTAAAACCATGACTATGGGATTTCGATTGCTAGGATAGGGTTGAGCCTGGCGCTTGAGTTCAACAAAGTTCACTGGAGGAGGAGCTTGGCAAAAAAGGGGGAGATGAGAGAGACAGATAGGAGATTTTGAAAAGAAATCTTATTTATCATTATCTTTTTTTCATACAACCACATATGTCATTTAATAATTAACTTTTTTTACATCATTAAAACTTATGATTCTATATGTATCAACTTATTTAATAACATATAAAAATTACAAATAAAAATTATACAAAAAAAGTCAACAACCTAAGTAACTCAGTGATTATCTTTTTCTGTTGGAAGTAAGAGGTCTTGATTTCAAATCGCATGGCATGCGAGTGAGGTAGGATAAAGAATTAGAGATGATTGCCTCCCATTTATGTAACTAGGATAAAACAAAATTATACAAAAAAGTTAAACAGAGATCATTACCTAATTAAGAAACTATATTAATCTATTAATTAAGAAGGAACTCTTTCCAAATGTTGCTTTTGCACTCATATTCATTGAATCATTAAATAAGAAAAGGATAATAATTGTATATCTTCTAGTTCAATACACCTAAGAACACTTACATTCAATCATTATTGAATTAATATTTTCAAATTTGAATTCAAAGACAAATTTTAATAATTGAACCAGTACTGTTAGGTATGTTGAATCGAAGGGTGTGCCAATTATTTTCCATAGGAAAATGATTGAATTTATAGAATTTATAGAATTTTTTCATGAGTAGATACAAAAGATGAGCATTAGGGATGAAAATTTAGGATTAATGACATAGTATAAGTTATATCATTAAATAAATTAATAAATATAAGATCATAGGTATAAAGAAATTAAAAAAATTATTAAATAATATATTGTTCACCTTTAAATATTTTAAATAATATAACTTATATCATGTCGTTGGTCTTAAAATTTCCATCTTGTTTATCATTATCTCTTTTATCATACAACCTCACATGTCATTTAATGATTAACTTTTTTAACGCTATTAAAACTCATGATTTTATATGTATAATTCATTTAATAACATATAAAAATTATAAATAAAAATTATATAAAAAGGTTAAACATATATCATTACCCAATTAAATAATCTCCAAGGACATATTTCAATTGTTAAAAGTTTTAAGCCTGGAAAATAATATACTTGCAATGATATATAAAATTATAAATTTACAATAATATTAATATAATATATTAAAGAAATAAATATATACAAATATCAAATGTGGCCCCTTAAAAAAATATCAATTGTGGTGATTGCACCCTAAGCAGAACATTATGGGGTTAAACTTTCATAATACAATTTTGTGAGGGAGGGAACAGGTGTTTCCATTGATCATATAACTTATTATCATCAAAAGTTAAAAATAAATAAATAAAATAACGGATATTTGCAGAAGTCCTTTCTCGCAAAACAGCTTTTCTTTAGAAAAGGAGAGATATAGAGAACGGCCCAGTTAAATGGACGAGTTGACAAGGCCCAATCACTAATATTCTTTGACGGAAACAAGTGTTTTTTGACAAAGCATTTTTTTTTTTAAGGAACAAATTTGACAGTGCATTAGAAAATTAATTGTTTACCAAAGCAAGATTTAAATCTAAAATTTTGAACCCTCAAACTAAAGTTTTTATAGTTGGTGTGCACCAACTTAATTAAACTTGTTGAACACTTTCAAAGGCTGCTTTAATTTAACCATAAATAAATAAATAAATAAATAATAACCTTGATTTCAAGTGATAATGTTTATATATAGGGATTAAAATGTTTTTTAAACTAACAATGTAAATGATTCAATGATTAAAGTGAGAGGTCCACTGTTAGGGCTTGTTTGGGTTCACATCATTCAATCAAATTAAAATGTTGGTCCAATCTTTAACTTTATTAGACCAATCTATCTTCTCTTCTATCCACCTCTTTCTTTCAAACCAATAAAACTCTTAAATTGTGATAGAGATATCCATTGGTCTTGATTACTTTAAGCATTAGATGCTTGAATGTGCTAGCCGTCGGAGTTGATTTATTGCTCAATCGCATTGTTCTTGATTGCACTTGATAGTCTTTGAATTTATTGTCCGATTAAGCTCACCTTCTCACATTTACAATTAATGAGCCATAATTTAAATTAAGTAACAAGAATAGAGACCAACAGAAGTTTAATTGATTTGATATGTACTAACATTAATTAAAAA